TCCTCCTGCCTTCCCTCACTCTCCCTGCCTCCTTCACCTCCTCCTGCCTTCCTTCCGCTTCCCTTCCCGTCTCCTGCTTTCCCTCCTCCACGCTCCTCCTCCTCTTCGCTCCACTCCTCCACCTCTCCCTGCTTCCCTCCTCTCCTCTCCTCCACCTCCTCCGCCTTCTTCCCTCCCTCTCTTCCTGCCTGCCTTCCTGCCTCCCCCCTCCTGCTTCCTCCTCCTCCTGCTCCTCCTCCTCCACCTTGCCTGCTTCCGCTTCCTTCCCTCCTCTTTCCTGCGCGCTCCTCCTCCCTCCTCCTGCTTCCGCTCCTGCCTCCTACTCCTCCTCCTCTCACTCCTCCTGCTTCCCCTCCTCTCCTCCTTTCTTCCCTCCTCCTGCTTCCCTTCCCCTTCCCTCCTCTTCCTGTCACCTCGCTCCTGCTTCCCTTCCCTTCCCTCCTCTTCCTGCGCCTCCTCCTTCCAACTCCTCCTCTGCTTCCTTCCCTTCCTCCTCTTCGTTCACCTCCTCCTGCTTCCCTTTCCCTTCCTTCGCTCTTCCTGCGCCTCCTCCTTCACCTCGCTCCTGCTTCCTTCCGCTTCTCTCCTCCTTTCACCTCCTCCTGCTTCCTTCCCGCTTCCCTCCTCCTTCCGCTCCTCCCTGCTTCCCTTCCTTCCCTCCTCTTAACTCGCCTCCTGCTCCCCCTGTAATTCTTCAAGAGTGAATACCATTGCATCAGTGACCCTATTACTTTTTTCAATTTCCATTAAAAGTACTTCGTTTGAGAGTCATTAACAAAGTCATACCTATTTAAATGTACGGTTATATCAAAGCTGTAAAGAATGTCAGCAACCATTTTCAAAATCCTGGATATTTTTTATTTGCATGCATAATATTTTTGGTCAGTCCTGTTCCTTCTTTTTTTCTCTCTCTATCTTCTCTCTCTCTTTCTCTCTTCTCTCTCTCCTCTCTCTCTCTCTCTCTCATGCTTCTCTCTCTCTCGTCATCTCTTCTCCTCATCTCTCTCCTCTCTCTCTCTGTCTCTCAATTCTATCTCTCGTCTTGATTGATCTGTCTCATTATTCTTTTTATACTTCCTTTTTTAGTTTTTCAATTTTTACGTTCCATTTTTCATGACAAATACGAGAATATTTGCACTAGTTTTGGGGGTAAATTGTAATCTTGACACACCACAAATGTATGTACAGTAACACGCACACACGAAACACACACACAACATAGGCATCACACAAAGTAAATGAAAGATTAGAAAGAGAGAGAGAGAGAGAGAGAAGAGAGAGAGAGAGAGAGAGAGACGAGAGAGAGAGAGAGAGAGAGAGAGAGAAGAGAGAGGAGAGAGAGATGAGAGGAGAGAGAGAGAGGAAGAAAGAGAAAGAGAGAGAAGAGAAGAGAGAGAGAGAGAGAGAGANGGGGGGGTGATACGAGGGGGTATGGTAGAAGGGGAGGGTATGTTGTAACAAAGAGGGGAGGAGGGAATCATCAGAAAATAGGAGGGGGAGGGTGAAGGAGGGAGGGAGGGGCAGCGGTGACACGCTGACTCTATGCCGATTCTTCCACTGAGAGGGAAAGAGAGGACTGTATAATGATAAGCAGATGAAGGGAAAGAGCCTAAGGAGAGAGAGAGAAGGGAAGGCTAAAGAGAAGCGAAAGGAAGGGGCAGGGTAAAGGGGAGGAGAAAGGAGGGAAAGGGAAAGGAGAAGAGGGAAGGCGAGAAGACCAAATGGAACACGAGAGAAATACAAGAAAGAGTAGAAAGGAAAAGGTAGAAAAGAGAAAGTCTTTGGTAGATGGGAGACAGGGGGATGAGCAAAGCGTGGAAGAAGGAAGAAGGGGGGGGAAAGAATACATGCGAAATAGGAATAGGAGGATAGATAGAAGAAAAACAGGGAACAATGTGAAATGAAATCAAGGAAGTACCGCCAGGGAGAAGAAAGAAAACAGAAAAAAATAGAAACCGAACGACAGGAAATGGAGACAAGACAAAATAAATAATACGAGAGGAAGAGAAAACAAAGAGAATTCCTCCCCTCCCCTCCCTCCCCCCCTCCTTCGTATCCTACCACTTGCGAGCTCTTTTATCGTCAATTTCTTAATCTTCACCATTCTGTCTACCCATCCTTCTCTCTGCTTCCCATGCGCAGCAGCAAAGGTGGTACTGCGAGAGGCCATCTACGTGCAATAATACAATAACATTCACGCGAAGGGCAGGGCAGGGGAATCTCGCCAACTGTAGTATTTCTATTTCTCTATGGTTTTCGTTCTCTCTTCTTTTCTCTTCCCTTCTCTCTACTTCTCTCTCTCTTTCTATTTTTCTCTCTCTCCCTCTATCTACCTTTATCTACCTCTATCTCCCTCTCTACCTCTATCTTTCTTCTTTTTCTTTTTCTGTCTCTCACTTTCACTCTCTCTCTATCTCTTTCTCTTTCTCTCTCTCTCTCTCTCTTTCTCTCTCTCTCTCTCTCTCTCTCTCTCTCTCTCTCTCTCT